GCCACTGAGTCAGGTGCTGGACGCACCTCACTGCTGGTAGCCGTTGCTACCTCCCCAACTACAGCCTCCTCACAGCGAGAGACAGACTGCACCTCACTGCTAGAAGCCTCATTCCCCACAACTCCAGCCACCTCACACTCTCTCCCAGACCCATTGAGGTGGACCTTCAGCCTCCTAATCTCCTCCTGGAAAAGCAAGACCTCCTCCTTCAACTCTCCAACCTCAATTTTTAAAACACTGCAGAAGCAAGCCATGCTTTGTAACCGTCCACGCTAATCCCCAAAGCAACTCAGGGTCTGTGACCTCACGTGACGACTGACCACTGACTGACCACTGACCACTGTAGAATTAGTTTAAGTTGGAAAAAAATAGGTTTAGAGGATATGGGAAAGCACCGGTTTGGTAATAGTTGTGGATGAGTGGAACAAGCTCACGAGTAGCATTACTGAAGCGAGAATCTTGGGTAGCTCTAAAAATAGGTTGAACAAGTGAGTGTGGGGTGATGCGAGTTGGACCTGCCTAGCATGGGCCAGTAGACCTGCAGTGTTCCTCCTTTCGTATGTATTTCATATTCTATTTCACCATCTTATTTTAAATGACTTTTACACCAGCCTTTTATCGGGTTATAATGGGTTACTAACTCTGGGTTAATAATTTGAACAAAGTTTTATCTTAGAGTTCCTGCTTAGATTTTAGCTTGCATGTGGGCTATTTTGTAAATTCCCCAACATTAAAGGAGTTGTGCATTAGACATATTTTGAATCAGTAGGAGAGGAAACTTTTTTTTTTTTTTTTTAATTACAGTCGGCTGTTTCCCACCAAGGCAGGGTGACCCAGAAAGAAAGAAAATCCCCAAAAGAAAGAAAAAACTTTAATCATTCAACACTTTTACCATCACTCGTACATAATCACTATCTTTGCAGATATTTGGTAAATAAACCTAACCAAAGACAATCTAGAAAAAGTAGTAATTTTATGTTAGGTTGGATTAAGTTATTTTGCTAGCAAAACAATAGTTTTAATTCTATTTACCCAAAATATAATACAGTATGTCCATTACACTTCCCCCTTTAAAAATGTGGTCACTATTCACAAAATTCCCTGGTCCTAATTCAGCACAATTTCTTGATCAAAATTGTCCAACATTGATGTGGTTATGCAGGAAACACACTTATCTGTTGTTTAAATTATTATTAACATCAGTAATAATAATAATAATATAATAGTAATATAATAATTATGTAATAGTAATAATATAATAATAATGTAATAGTAATAATATAATAATGTAATAGTAATATAATAATAATATTAATGATAATAATAATAATGATAATAATAATAATAATGTGTAACCCCAGGCATGTTGTGGACCCCCAGGCATACATGTAATCCAAAGGATTATGTGATCCTAGAAAAACATTACTCATGGGTATATGTGTGACTGGATGGATATAAGGCAAGAACTGCTGACAAAAAAATGAAACAGTAATCCACACAAGCTTATATTGTAGATGTTTCACTCTGGATGTAAACATTGCCTACATTAAGGACTTGTCCTGTTGGATATTAAGGAATCCCACTGGTTAAATTCACAAAATACCCCTCAGTGACTTTTTGTAGTAAGATATGAATATTAAATGGATGACTTTTCATTTGTTGCAGTGGGGGTGTTTTATAGAGGTGCTGGAAAACAATAATTTTAATTTATAAACACTTTATTTTAAGGCCTAGTAGAAATCTGGAATACATTAAGGTAACATTTGCTTTGGCCAAGAGAAAGCTCTGGTCATATTCAAACAGTGAATTTGAATTAGCTTTTGATTAGCAGTATGGCTTCATTTCATGATAATATTTACTGTTACCTAAATGTGCAGTACAGTGTAATGATCTATGACATGAACTATAATTTTCTTAGGGAATTTGTTTTAGTAAGTACTGTAGATTCTTGTTGATGGGGATTCTATATGAAAATGGAAATCAAGTCCATAGTTAATTGCTAACTCATCTTAGGTGATCCAAGATGCATTGATAAATGGACAACATAGAAGACGCCATCGATGCACGCCATGAGGTCAGTGCTTTGTAGAGAATGATTGTGTAAAGTACATCCTTCCTAATGTTTCTCATTGTTACACTTAGCTCTTGACACCTGAGAATTATTAACTAGAGCATATACAGTTGAGGCTCACAATTCTTACATCTGCAATATATTGCAACTGAAATTTTGTTCCCAATACCAAGATTCATGGGAAAGCAACTCCATAATCACGCTGTAGAATTTTGAGAAATCGGCTCAACCATGAAAATATTTCTGCTTATTGATTACTACAGCCTGTGGAAAGCCAGCTTCTGACTTAATGTGGTGCGTGAGAGTATCTTGTTCATTGTAGTGTAAGTCTGATGGCCATATAAAATTTCATCATCTACACCATTTTATAACAAGCCTTTTTATTTAATTATTACTTTCTCAGATGCCTTCGTCTTTGTATACATGTTTATTTGGTATTAATGTGGTGAGTGTTTATATGCTTGGAACAATTTAGTAAGGAAATGTGGCTTATTTTTTCCTAAGTTGATAGCTAGTGATGGCAGTAGTAGCTAATATTCCCTGTCTCATGTTTATGTAGGGCTCCATCAATCCTCTACACCCATGCACACACCTACCAACAAGCAACAGCATTCATTGGTACAGTCAGGGCCGGATTACCGCATAGGCAAACGAGGCAGTTGCCTAGGGCCCCGCGCATTTGGGGGCCCCGCGGTCCAAGGGGTTCAGGGGCTCATCCAAGACTGCGCACATGGTGCAAGTGCAAAGGGGTCCCTACCTAAAAAGTTCAAGTGTTTGGAGAGTAAAATTGATTTTTAAAAATTAATCAAAGCAAAAATAAATAATGAAACAAAATAAAAAAAAAATTAAATAATAAACCTAACCATAGATGGCAACACACAACACGCCTTTGTGTTAACATCAGAACAGGCTGTAGTTTTTCCCACTAATGGTGGAGTATGGGAGATTCCTCCTCCAATTTTCTGTAGTAATTACACGTTATCTAGAACTTGAACTGGTGACAAATTAACTGCAAGTGTTGTTGATAGACATTGATTGTATGATAAATGTTTGTTTTCACTCTAAATTTAAGGGAGGGTACTGATGGGTTATTGACCATAAAGACGCATGGACCAGTAAAGACCATTTTTTGGTAAAAAAACTAAAAGAAAACCTCAAAACGCAAACTGACTTCCGTTTGTAGGTTTTAAAAGCACTTTGTCCTGTCTTAAAGTCTTAATCAACATTTCAATAACAGATCTCAATTGATTGATGTTCTGCATCACGTTCCGTCGCAAATTGCTTAGTTTTCAATTTGCGACGGAGTGATGTAAACATCCCAATTAATTCCTAACACAATTTCCCCAAAACTCAAAAGCCACATCAGAAAATCGTTGGTTGGTGAATCTGAAAAATGTCCCTGCATTCTTTAATTCTCATGTCCTTATCTATGGTGGTAGGTCCAATATCATGCAAAACATAATTGATAGTTTAGCTATGAAAATGGTAATATAAATTACCATTGTGCATTGTTTCATGGACTCCAGTATGATTTCTGTTTAAGTAAATTGAGATCAAGGAGGATGATTAGTAAAATATCGTAGCCCAAATCACTAACCTAATCTATGGTAAAAGTTCTGTATATGACTCCTTTCTGTAACGTTTTGAATTTTTAAATGCACAGCCAGAGGAAAGGGGCTACAAGGGCCATATCCTCATCCCCCCAATTGACATAAAAAAAAATTTAATAATTAAAAAATTAAATAATAATTGATAATAAAAATTTGTATTTGCATGATAACAGACAGTGATACATCCTCATTAAGGCATCTCGTGAACGTGATGTGGACCATTCTGATGCGAGTGGGTCACAGAAAAGAAAGAAGAAAAATCAGAAGAACAGAAAAGAAAGATGTAGGAAGCTGCAGAAAGATCACAGGCATGCTCACGAAAACAGTTTTCTGATGTTACCATGTACAGTTAAATCTGCAATACGTCAGATCATACAGGAAGCCCTCCCTCCATTATTTCTCAGCTAGCATCTACTCTTTTGTGTCACCTCTCAATGTCTCAACGGACTTTTTCCATCCACACAGGAATATGTCTAAAAGATCCTGCCTCATTGGCCAAAATGGTAATCCCAGATACCCTATCATAATGCTTCAATGCAGAAAACTCAGTAAACTCTGAGACATTGACTTTAGGAAATCAAGAACAAGGATGTTATGATGATGGAAGTCGTCGTTGTTTAAAGTCATCTATATGTTTTATAGAACTTGCAAATCAGAAACATGTGAAAAGAATCATGATGGTATACTCTGAAAGCTCAGAAAAAGTTACTGTTCGCGATGCAAAAGCTATTTTCTACCAAAGAAAATACCTTCACGACGGTTCAATTACTGGAAAAATTCAAGCGATATCGAGGAACATGAAAACAGCACTCCTCCACGAGGCAGCTGCATTTAGCCAGTATATTTCTGCACAGAAAAAAGGCTATTGGATTCTCATTGGAAAATCAAACTGAAAAAGAGCGCACTTATTGGAGAAGAGAGGTTTCTAGAAAGAGTTGTTGCAGTTTAAAATTCTTAGCTCTAAGAGACTTGCTTTCTTCCGTGGAGAAAATGAGGATTTTGGTTCAGAAAACAATGGCAAATTTCCTAGGGATCATAGAAACTGTTAGCAAATTTGATCCATTCTTAGCAAATCATGTGTCACGCCTTGGGAAATGCAGGAAGAGGCACAGTTATCTTACATGTCATCTACTAAATGAATTTATTTGAACTGATGAATAAGAAGGTACTCAATAACATCATAGCAGCTGTGAAAACTGCAAAATACTTTGCAATAAGTTGTAGATTCAACACCCGATATTTCACATACAGATCAATTGACATTCATTGATCGCTTTGTAGACCTCCATGGTAAGCCTGTAGAGCGCTTTATAAAATTCATTCCTCTTTCAGGCCATGATGGCGAGATAATATGAATGTAGTATGGAACTCTGCTTGAACATGATCTCTCTATTATGGATGCCGTGGCAGAGCTACGGCAATGCAGTAACATGTCGGTAATGATAATGGATTGCAAGCCCGTATCAAGCAAATCAACTCACATTGCTGTATATGTGCGCCAGCTCAGCACTTTCTCTTAATCTTGTTGGGGTCATGGTGCTGCGCGGAGTGTGTCGCTGCAGTTTCATTTGTTGGACTTTACAAGCACTCTTTAATTTTTTCTATCTCTGCTTCAACGCATCGGTGGAGTACACTCAAGTCAACCATTCATGGAGATGTCAACAAATCATTATCAACAACAAGTGTCAGCGCAAGCATGTGCAACACATGCTTTGAAAGACAGCTTTGCTGAAATACGTTCTGCTTTGATCCAAATAGCAGAGGATAAGACCAGACAGCAATTACAAGAAGCGAAGCAGCCAGCTTAGCATACAAAATTGGAAGATTTTGGAATTGGCCTTACTCTGTGTGCTTTGGACTAGTATACTGGAACGGTTTAAATGCCCATGAACAAGACACTTCAGAAAAATGAAATTGAAATAGGCGTACTTGTGCTAACCTCTATGCAGGCTTAGTGGAATTTGTAAGCTCACTTCGCAATGAATGAACGGGTGTGGAAATGTTTGTAGAGGAAAGCTAAACCTGCTGGTGAAAGACACATTTTCCGGGCTGATCATCAGCGGTCAAGGAAGAGGAAACGCAATTTTGAAGAGCCGGACAATGAATTGTGTTCGACCAAGGCAGAAATGTAAACAGCTACCATATTCGTCCATTCAGGATTCACTGATTACAAAATTGGTGAAAAAGAAAAGAAATCTACCAGAACTCAATGACAAGTTTGGATTTCCTGTTCAAATTACTACTATGCCAGATGCAGAATTGAGAGAAGCTGCCATAAAGTTTGCAACAACACTGACTTTCAGCAGATGTTCAGGACACATTTGATGAAGAAATGGTTCATTTTTTCTTGGATATATGAAAACAGATTAAAGCTCGCACCTGAAAAATGTGCACCCTCACTGCTTTGAAACATTAAGAAAAGCAGGAATCTCAGAAACCTTCTCTCCTAATGTTGACATAGAGTATCGCCTTTTCCTAAACACTTCCAGGCTACTAATAACATGTGAAGGAGAATGTTCAGATTTCTTTTTGAAAGAGTGAAAAACCAGCCCGTCAACATGAGCCAAACAAATTGGGTAACCTAGCCTGTTTGACCATTGAGTCTGATCAAACAAGAAATATTGATTTTCAGAATATAATTGATGATCTTTGCCAATATGAAATCCAGAAAAAAGTTTATTCAAGAAGTGCCTGTGAATATAAACAATTCTTTACTTTCTTAGTTTATAATGATTGATAGTCTTATGCATGAGCAATGATAACAATTAATGGTCAGTGATTTATAAAGGGAATAATAGTGCTGTAGTGGTTAATGCTGAATATAATAGGTACATGATGTCACTACTTTAATAGCCTAAACTTAGTAATAACTAGCTGTCTTGAGTTTAATACTCTTAAAATGCATGAATTTAACCAAGATAGTTATAATGGCTTTGTTTGGTAAATTGGTTTTGTTGTCTTGATGTACTTTCCCTATTAAATTTAATCTAAATAGCCAGAATGTATTTAATTAGACCTTAAACAGGCTCACACCGACTCCCCCACCCCAAGCTGGAAGGGGTCGCTTCGCTTACCCGTAACTCAAAGGGGCCCCGCCAATCTGAATAGCCTAGGGTCCGGAGACTTCTTAATCCGGCCCTGGGTACAGTTTGGTAAAAGAATGTGGCTTACACTAGCCAAGGTGTTCCATAGCTCGATCACTAGCGCACTCAGCTCACACACTGATTTCGACTCTCCGGTGCGGCTGGACAACATTAAAGACGCGTTGCCATAAGACAACTGCTGTTCCTGTTCACCCATCATAATAGGGGGGGGGGGGGGGGGGGGGGGGGGGGGGGGGGAAGGGGATAACCTGGGTGTTAGTCAACTGGTGTGGGTCGTATCCTGGGACAA